AGAAGAAGGGAGAAGAAGGCCCCTGGTTTTTTTTTTCTGGGGGGGGGGAGAGGAGGGGGAGGGCTCTTCCTGTCGGGCGTGGCTCAGACACATGGCTGTTTCCTCATGATGTCACGGATCCAGGGGGTGAACTCGCAGACGCGGGTGTAGACGCCCGGCTTGCCCCGCTGTCCGCAGACCTGCATCCCCCAGGAGACGATGCCCTGCAGCTCGTCCTTGCACACCAGCGGCCCCCCCGAGTCGCCCTGGTGGGGAGAAGAACCTGGTGAGATGGTCCTCACCCTTGGGACCCACAGAGGCCCCTTCCCCCCCTCCCAGCTCCACCCCACAGGGAGCCTGCAGGCTCATGGGCACCACCGTGCCCTAGAGGGTCAAGGTCTGGAGACCACCATGGGCTATGGGGTCAAGGCGTGGAGACCACCATGATCTATGGGGTCTGGACATGGAGACCCTCACGCCCTAAAGGGTCAAGGCATGGAGACCACCATGGACTATGGGGTCAAGGAATGGAGACCACCATGGCCTATGGGATCAAGGCATGGAGACCACCATGGCCTATGGGGTCAAGGAATGGAGACCACCATGGCCTATGGGGTCAGGGCATGGAGACCCTCACGCCCTATAGGGTCAGGGCATGGAGACCCTCACGCCCTATAGGGTCAGGGCATGGAGGCCACCATGCCCTATAGGGTCAGGGTGTGGAGGCCACCATGGCCTATGGGGTCAGGGTGTAGAGACCACCATGACCTATGGGGTCAGGACATGGAGACCACCATGGGCTATGGGATCAAGGCATGGAGACCACCATGGACTATGGGGTCAAGGAATGGAGACCACCATGGGCCATGGGGTCAAGGCGTGGAGACCACCATGCCCTATAGGGTGCTGGAGCTGATGCCCAGGAGGTTCCTATAGCACTGGAGAGGTCCCTATAGTGCCATGGGGACCCCATAGCAGCCGGGGGGGGGAGGGGGGGACATGTTGAGTTCTTGGTGGTCCCTACAGCACCCAGGCCTTCCTAGAACATCCTGGGGGTCCTATAGCACCCAGAAGCCCCCGTGTTGTCCAGGGCTCCCTATAGCACTGAGGAGATGGTACATTGTTTGGGGTCCCTGCAGCACCCAGGGTGTCCCTATAGAGCTTGGGGGTCCCTGTGGCACCCGGGGGGGGGCCTCGTGGTCCTGTGAATGCCGTGGGGGTCCCTATAGCACATATAGAAGGTGCACAGTGCTTGGGTGGTCCCTACAGCACCCAGGGGTCCCTATAGCACCCAGGGGTCCGCACCCAGCTGTCCCTATAGCACATATAGAAGGTGCACAGTGCTTGGGTGGTCCCTACGGCACCCAGGGGTCCCTACAGCACCCAGGGGTCCCTATAGCACCCAGATGTCCCTATAGCACATATAGAAGGTGCACAGTGCTTGGGTGGTCCCTATGGCACCCAGGGGATCCCTATAGCAATTCAGGGGTCCCCATAGCACCCAGGTGGTCCCTACAGCACCCAGGGGGCCCTATAGCACCCAGGGGCATGCATGGGGCTTGGGGTGGGTCCCTGTAGCACCCAGGGGGCCCTATAGCACCCAGGGGTCCCTATAGCACCCAGGGGTGTGCATGGTGCTTGGGGTGGGTCCCTATAGTATCCAGGGGCATGCATGGGGATTAGGGAGGGTGTCTATAGCACCCAGGTGGTCCCTATAGCACCCAGGGGCCCCCATAGCACCCAGGAGCATGCATGGTGCTTGGGGAGGGGTCCCTATAGCACCCGGGGGGCCCTATAGCACCCAGGGGTCCCTGTAGCACCCATGTGGTCCCTATAGCACCCAGGGGCCCCTACAGCACCCACATGGTCCCTATAGCACCCAGGTGGTCCCTATAGCACCCAGGGGCCCCCATAGCACCCAGGGGCATGCATGGGGCTTGGGGAGGGGTCCCTATAGCACCTGAGGGGGCCCTATAGCACCCAGGTGGTCCCTC